CAGCATATCAATAAAATCCATGCCTTTACTTTGATTGAAGAATAAAGAGGAAGCAAGATATTTATAAATAAGCATGGAATTCAGACTTAGTCTGAGATCAATATACTGAAATTGACAAATTCCAAGGCTGTTTTAATGCTTAAATTTATACCAGGAAACTACAAAGTGCTCTGGTGTCACACATATACCAGATACTAAAACTGCTGTTTTGGCCAGTACATTCCACAGTGCATTGAACAAGTGACAACACAATTTGCTGCTTATTCCAAAAAAATCTGCTCAAATCTGCCTTAGCCCTAGCAGATATTATTTAAAATTCTAAAAAAAAAAAAAGGAAAAAATTCAATTTTGCACGGACTGTGGAGTACACCAAAGCACATAAAATAATATTATGAAATTTCTCAAAACACAGCAAACAGAACATACATCTTTCAGAACTCAACAGAAAATAAATATCAAACTGACTTATTTTAGCTTATAAAATGTAAACAATGCTCTAGGAAAGGCATAATGAGAGAATACTTCAGGTAAGATGGATTATCCTTCAAGCACTGTCAATACTTGCCTAGGTCATTTTTTAAGCTGATTTCAGAAGGTGGCTCTGAATCCATGGGAACGTTGATCAAAGTGTAACACACATTCTCTGCAGCAGTCATGGCTCTTGGTTACAGGAGTTCTCTCAAGGGAAGAATTATTTTCACACAAATGTCAGACAACCTAAAAGCCAAGCAAACAAAGTCATCCCAAAGTTAAAAACATTGATTTACAAACACAAAAACATTATTATAACTGACTTAATGGCCTGAAGGGATTGCTGGGTTTTGGGTTGCAAAAGCCTCCTTGCTTTGCTGTTACCCTAAAATACTCCTGTGAGCACCACAAAGGTGAAGAGCATTTTTCTGAAAAAACAGAAAGGAACAAAATCTTTCCAATATTTTGGGCATGGTCAGGAATAACAGAAGTGTACAGGGCACCTGACTGAAGCCAAGTCCATGCAGCAGCTCCTGCCTCCTGGAGTCATTCCCTGATCCCAGCTCTATGTTCCCACTACCTTCCCTGCATGCCCATGTCCCTCCAGGTGAATGCCCCAAACTGCAAAATCAGCTGAAAAACTTCACCAAAAAAAAGGAAAAATGAAAAGATAAAGTCCTGGACTCAATGAACAAGTGAGTCTATGCAGGAAGCTTTGAAGATGAGCACGATATCCAACAGAGCAGAAACCACGGATGAGAGAAAAGACAATGTGATGGAGAGAGAAGCATTTTACCTGCCAGGGATCTTCAGATCAGCTCAACTCTACTGTCTCCACTAGACACTAATGAGGAAACCAAGACTTTTTATGATGAAAAAGGACAAGAAGGCTACAGATCTATCAAAGCTGCTGTGTGCCTGGCAGTCCAGGTAATTAAATCTGCTATTAAGCCCCATTTTAATTCCCATGTTTGGTTTTTCCTTGTATAATAGATATCTAGGATCAAATGAACCAGTTTGTTGTATCAATCCTCATTCTCATGTTTGCTTGTTCTTTATATAATAGACATCTAGGATGAAATCAAATCTTTTTATTCTATTTCTTAAGTAATGAAAAATGCTCAAGCTTGAGCTTGCTTGGCTGATGTTGTGATACTACACTGACAAACACGGCAAAGAAAATTGTTACTGTTTATTACATGAGCAACTGTGTACTTTCTACAGAAATTGTGTTAAAATAAATCAGCTTTTATTGACATTAATTGTCTGGAAGTCTTAGACACCCTTTTCTCATCAAATGGGCACTCATTTCATTCTCATTTCATGAGAACCCCACCCTGAACAGTGAGCAGGGAAGTTGTGCTGAACTGAGTTGCTGCCTCTTTCCCCACAAGAAAACAACTCACATCAATCAGCACCACATCAATCACCCCAAAACATAATTGCAATATAAATTTTTAAGGAAACACTCCTCTTTCCCTTATGAATTCTGTATTTTAAGGCCTAGATCACTCAACCTTGTTGCTTACAAATATCTACACAAACCACTCGTTCGTGAAACGATTGTGGGTGGCACTTAGTGTCATGCTCCAGTTGAAAAAGGTGGTGATCAAAGGTTGGATTTGATGATCTCAGAGCTCTTTCCCAACAGTTTTTTTGCCTTAGCAGTAGCTTTTTAGCTTACTTTTCCTATGCTGTTACCCAGAATTCCCGCCTCAAAGCCCTGCAGCCAGCACCACCTACAAGAACAACTCACACAGACCATAAAGCAGATCCTTGTAAAAGCAGGGCAGGTATCTTTACATACAAAGAGTTCAGCTGCAGGAATTTCCAAAATCACAGTCAAACATGTCTCTGAAGTGTGATAAATGAGTGCACTTTGGGCTCTGAAAAGCAGCAATGAAATGCAACTCTCCTGAAACACAGAGCTGTGAGATTTGGCACAAAGCCTTGAAATCAGCTGGATCATTGAGAGCCCAAACGGACACAGACGTAGGTGTGGTTTTAGCTTTCCAGCAACAGTATCTCTGTCACCTGTGGGGAGTCACAGAACGTTTGGGTCGGAAGGAACCTTAAAGATGAATTCATTCCAATCCCCCGCCACGGGCAGGGACGCCTTCCACCAGACCAGGCTGCTCAGAGCTCCATCCAGCCTGGCCTTGAACACTTCCAGGGGTGCGGCATCCACAAGCGCCCTGGGCAACCTGTGCCAGTGCCTCGGCACCCACGGAAATTGAAAGTTAAGAGTTCCTAGAGCCCAGGAAGACAAAAAGAAGCCACGCCTGCTCGCCACCTACATCCCTGGTGAGCCCTTGGGAATAGGGGCACCTAATGAACCCAAACCTTGAGAAAATACCGTTTTGCTGCTGCACAACTATAAAACAGAGTGTTCAAAATGTTGACAAAAAAATCCCGACACATTTCGAGCCAGCTGAAGGGTATTTCTCCCTTAATATCCCAGTTCCTACTTTCACTCCAAACCCGGGCATTTGAAGCAATGAGGAAAAACTTCCCTCAATGCCCATGTCCGCCTGCCATTGTCCCGAGCAAACCCTGAGACCCGCAGCCCTTTCCGCACCACAAACCCTCCCACACCCGCCCCGCGTCCCCGGGGCCCTGCCGGGGGCCACCGGGACCCTGAGCTTCCGGGCCTTGCGGCGCTCGGCGGACAAGCAGCACCCGCCGCTTCTCCCCGGCCCCGCGAAGCCACCGCGGGCCGGCCGTGCGGCTCCGTACCGGGGGGCGGTGGGGTCGGGCCGGTCCCGGTGCGGAGCTGAGCCCGCGGCGCTGCCGCTCCGGCGATGGCTGACGTGGAGCCGCGCCCGCCCCGGCCACATCGCGCGTACGGCGGCCGCGCTGGGACACGCCTCCAGAGAGCGCGAAAGGGGCGGAGCCACCGCTGTGACGTCACGGCGATGGGCGGGGTTTTCCTGCTGAGGGGGATCGGGGACACCCGGGATGCGGAAAACAACGAACAAAACCAAAATTAAAGAAAGAACGAAAGAAAGAACGAAAGAAAGAAAGAACGAAAGAACGAAAGAAAGAACGAAAGAAAGAACGAAAGAAAGAACGAAAGAAAGAACGAAAGAAAGAACGAAAGAAAGAACGAAAGAAAGAATAAAAAAAAAAGACCATAAAAGGGGTGCGGGAAACCGTAAAGAGAAAAATTTAAAAAAAATAAATAAATGGGTGTGAAAAAAGAGTTATTGCAAAAATCAGTAAGGAACTGGAAAATAGATTATGGGAAATGATTAAAGAAGAGGGTACCTAAATAAATAAGGGGAAAACAAAGGGAGGGAAAACGGGGGTAAACAAGGGGAGAGAAAAAAACAGTGGGGGAGAAATAAAGGGAGAAAAAAAAACATTGGGAAGTGGAAAAACAACACGCGGGAAGCAAAGGGAAGGAAAGGAAGGAAAAAACTAACAGGAAAAATAAATAAGGGGAAAATGTAAATAATGGTGGAAAAGTAATTAAGGGGAAAATGAAAATGAGTAAGAGGGGGGAAATAAAGAAATAAGGGAGGAAATAAATAGAAAAATAATAGGGAAAAACTAGAATAAAAACTAATTTAGGAAAAATAAAAGCAGCTTTTTCTAGTGCTTAAAAACCAAATATGTAGCCCTGACATAACTGCTTTGCTATTTTCATGACTGAACTATTTGTATGGATTCAAGACAGTATTTAAAGCTTGTTCAAAACAGCACCATGATTTATTCATTTTTGTTTAATTAATAAATATTAATAAATTATTAATCTGCAAGGTTCAGATCTGGTTTTTTGGGTTTTTTTCAAGTACAGTGAGCATGCTATCAGGTCCAGAAGGTTGTTTCTTATAATTTTCAATGCAATCATTGGGGAGAATAATTATATTAGAATGATCCAACATAGAAAACGGAAAAGACTGAACTAATTTTGCTTAAAATACAGCATAGCACCAGTTCACTGGGCTTCCCTGGCAGATGCCCCTGGGGAAGTCACAGTCAGTCCCAAATTTTGTGGCATTCAGCTCAAATGCAAAGAGCAGCAGGTACAGGCCAAGGAGAAGGGACAAAGCTCTGCAGAACCCGTTCATTCAGCAGCAATGCACAGACTCCACAGTTCAGCTCAGGAAACCTGCCATGGGAAAATCTGGTGGTTTTTTGTTACCCCAGTTCAGCTCTCAATGAGCTAAAAGCCCTGCTCTGCCCCAAGGCTGGCTGATGGCTCTAAAGAAACACTGACAATTCTAAAAGCAAAATAATCCCCCCAAAAGACCTGACCACAAGCTGGTTGTCAGCTTCGTGCTTCTTCAGCCTCATAACCACAAATGCCTTTTCAGCTGGGACAAGGTGACACAGGGAAATGCTGCTCCCTGTTTGTTCCATGACTATTTTATGGTTTCACAGACATTTTAAGATCCTCTCAGTCCTATTACAGTAAGCAAACACTCACTCTGACAAACGGTCAAACACACAATTGCACCTTGATATGACACTGGTATTTGTGAATAGCTGTTTTTTCAGACCAAAAAAAAGAAACTCACAGCAGAGTCAGAGAAAGTGATTTATTTCCACTTGTCCTTATGAGTTAAAGACAGTGTCTTTTCTTTATAAAACAGTTATCATGTACTATTTAGAAAATGATTACACCTTTCTTGTCCAAGCAGTTACACCCAGAGATGTCCTCCTGTCTATCTTTTAAGCATAGGTTTGTTGGTTTCTTTCTTTACAGGCAATCCTCAGAATGTAGCATCAGAAAACAAATATAGGTGAGGATAAAGTTACCAGCAAATGGATAAATGTTCCTAGATAATTATACATTAACAGAGGAACTCATCCACCAACTAGTGCTCCATTGGTTCCTCTGCCTTCTCCACGGTTTCTTCAACAGGTGGAACCGGCTTGGAGAGAGAAAAAAGAAATATTTTAGGAAGCCAGAAGACAACACTTGACAAATCAGCTTTAACCCCATTGGAGCACCACAAGTGGTAAATGCAGCTCATGTCAGCCAACAGCTCCCAAATTACTGTTATCCAAATTAAGCACAAGCAGAACACAGCTGGTAATTAGGAGACTATGGAGTCTTGTAAAGGCCATGAGAAACATATGCAACCACTTCTGTTGTAAAACAGTAAAAACTCATACTTGATCAGAGATGAGGAAGGAAGATGACATTGGAACAGCCTGGCATAAATCCAGCATAAACTGATTTAATAAACATCTGAGTTACCAGTTAAGATTATATAGTGTTCATGTAGTAACTCTGTATTTTAAAAATCGCCTTCCTGTAACTCTGCTACAGTAGTAGAGCTACATTTATTTTAAACATAATACATCATATCTAATTATTGTCTTTCAGCTAAGCCTATTTATTTATATCTGAATCACTCACCTTTCTCTGTGGTCTCTCCTCAAGACCTTCTAGGAATGGTGCTACATCATCATCATCATAGATGGTAAACTCCATGTCTTTGCCCACAATTCCAATTGAAACATTCTGTCAAGCAAAGGGTTGGAAGCAATGAGAAGCATTTTCCTGCAATTAACTTTGGCTTTACAGCTTTCACTTACAAAAGCCATCATGTTTCATAATCTTCTAAGTAAAGCCATTCAAGGGCTTCAATTTCTTTCATTTTGTTTTCCTTTTAATAACACACGTAATTTCTCAAAGATGCTTATTTTAATCTCATTTTGATTTTCAGTTAAGACTTCTAAAAAACGTGCTGAGCTAAGAATAAAAAAACATGGAAATGGTAGATCATTGGATATCCTTAGAATTTTCTTCAACAGTTCCTCAAATCATTGTCAAAAGTTTGTGCAGCTTTGTGATGCTCTATAAATTGTTGGTGGATTACCTTCACTCACTGCCTAGGTCAATTACTGACTGTGCTTACAATGCAAATCTGGGATTCTATAACTGCATATAATGCATCTTAAACACTGATCAAAGCTTAAAGTAGAGTGAAGCCACCAGGGCAACAATGTCTTATTTAGTGAAAGCATCATTGCTGTGAAGAAACTTTAATGTGAGATGAACACAGAACAGTAGATAAAATGGTGACATGAAATGAAGATGATATTATCTACCAGAACTCAGCTTCCAAACTTCAGTGCAAGCCACACTTCCCACTGATTTTGTCACAGTACTTTCAAGTAACAAGGGCAAAGCAAACCCAGTCCTTACCTTGGTGGTCAGATCCTGTTCAGCAGGAAGAGTCTCTCTCAGGGCTCGCAGTCCATGTTTAACTAGCTCATTTAGATTACCTTAAAATGGAAGCAGAAAGACATTGACAAACTTTATAGTATTAACTCTAGACACTCATTCCTTTTCTTCCTAATTCTAGTTGACAATTACAAAATCAGCTTGGTCAACTTATCTGCCAGAGCTCCTCTCCTTTCTGAGCAGAGCTGGTTATTAAAGCCTTCCCTTTGTATTTGAGGTCAAGTGCATCTGTTTTTGAACCCTGCTTTGCCTTCAGTGATATCCAAGTTTTTTTCCCCCAGGCAGGTATAGAATGGTTGCTGAACATCATCCCATAAAAAATAAATTCAGCACTTTAAATGCAGCACCTAAATACTTGCCCTGACATACTAACCCTGCTCTGCTACAGAAACAATTACACTTTCCCTGGGTAAAAAAGGGGAGAGGCTTTTTACATTTTTCACAGCTTTTCTGAGCACAGCTTCTCTTTCCATTAGATGTAATAAACATCCACATGTTAAAACCTGAAAATCTCAACCGTATTCTCTGTAATTTTGTCTTTGTGCAGCTTTACAGTTTTGCCAAATTTGGTTCACAAAATTTATCTTCATCTCACTAAATGCAAAAGGATAGAGTGGCAGCAGGAGATAAGCAGAACTGAGGAATACCAGGGGTGGAGAGAGTTCCATTACTCACAGTCAGTGAACTCAGTCATGTGCCTCTCCAAATAAGTTCGTGCTGACTGTGAACGAGCACCAATGGACATTGCTTTGCAATCAAAATAGTTTGCAGAGGGACAAGTCTGGAAGATGTGAGGACCCATGTCCTACAAAGAGAGAAGGAAACCACCAGAGAATGTTAAACAAATTTATAAATTCACACCAACGCTGCTGCTGGAGCATGAAATTTTCTAAGAGTTTTGCTTCATGGTACATCACACATACATGTGTGCACAGAAACATGTTTTATATGTATTTTAATCATATCACTGTTCTTATGCAATTCCTTCAAAATTGTTGCTTAAAAACCCACAAGAATAATTTTTTTAAATCCCCAAAACCCTCTTTTTTTCCACCTTGTTCATCTGCAGCTTTTAAAGGGACAGGATGGCCTGCACAAAAAAGCTTTTTTTTATTCTACAAACTGCACTGTGCTTATGTATGCTCCCTACTTCATGGCTTGCAGCAGGTATTTTACACACATTCTGTCTTATCTACAAAAAAGTAAAAACATGCTATAGACTAAACCATGCCATCCAAAATTTCAGGCAATAATTTCCTCCAACCATTCTCACGTCAACAGTCTTGAGGACAGAGATTCTCTGTGTGCTGCATTAAGAAAAATGCTGTTGCTAAACAAGTGAGAGAGAAGCCAGTGGTGATTTCCACATCCATTTTTTTTAACTGGAAGTCTTTAAAATAATAGTTTGTAAGCATGCAAAACCAACAGCAAAATGCTTACATAAACAAATCTCATTACTGAGTAAAAATACTCAGTAAGTGCAGGTAGGATTAGCTATTAATTAACACATCTGAGTTATGCTCTAGGGCAAGATACAGAAAACTATTGCCTTATTCAGAGAATTTTGACAAGTTTGCCTCTTCCATCTTTCCCTTTCAAGATCTGTTTGTTGCATCAAGTTTCCCTAGGCACATTTTCCTGCAGATCAGGAGCAGCCAGAGCAGTTTACTCACATCATAGCCTGCGATGAGCAGTCCTACTCCATAGGGCCTCCTGCCATAACGCTGAGTTGGAATCTGGGTTTCTTAAAAAAGCTAAGGAAACAATCTCAAAATTATATGATAATTACCCAAGAGTTTTCCTAAATCAAGCAGAGATGGACCAAAATGCATCCTTATGGGATGTTTATGGACACACACATTTAGAGAGCTGGGGAATTACAGCTTGGAAATTCTTTCCAGGCCTGGATTTCTCCTGACTCTCAGCTCCATTCCCAGGCTGACAAGCTGACTGCAGCTTCAGTTAGGGAGGAGTCTCCCAGGGTGACAACGTGGTGACAAACAGAGTGGAATTCATCACCAACATTAACCCCTGGTGTCTTTCCCGTGGGACACATCCTGAGGTGCTGTCCCAAGGATGTTTTTCCCAATTGACCCATGAGCTCCTGTCCTGTCCTGGCTGCACTGACACACTTTAAATCCGGGCTGTCTGTACAATAAATTGGCCTTTTTTCCCCAAAGAGCTCCGTGTGTGTTGCTGTTTTTTCTCTCTCTTTGCAGTGCAGTAACCACAGATGTTCTCCAAAAGTACACACAAGCAATGTGAACAAAGAACAGTCCAATAAACTTTTTCAACTTTTGTGATAGATGAAAGTCATTTTATGAAGGAGTAGAAAAGCTATGAAAGTATAACAAGTGTATAAAAAAAGGATACTGCTTCCAATTAGTGACACTAGGCGAGAAACTGGAAGAGGTCTATCAAAGACAAATCTAGAATCCAAACACTCTTGACGCATGAAATTGCTAGGGAGCAAAAAATATTAAAAAAAAAAAACATTAAAAACTCAGATCAGTGCATAGATCAAAGACACAATGAGGTTTTGTCTCAAGACTTGTCTGTTAAGGTAAGCATTTTTGTTTCAGCTCTGCTCATTGAGAAAAAGGGTCAAAGGCTTTCCATGATTTCATTTCTGCATGACCTATCATTGTTATTGAGAAAGTTGACCACAGGTTTGATAAAGTATAAACTGGGTATTTCAGCCATACACATGCAAAGAAGGTAGAAGTTCACACAAGCAACAGATGGATCCTCCGGAAAAATGGCAAGGTTAAATGGCAACGTTGCTTTGTGACACTGCAGCAATTAAAACTCATTTCAGAAATCCTTCTCACCCCTTCTGATCAAAGTTGCTAAAAGCAAGGCCCCCCCTGGAGCCCACACAAACAGCACTGTGTGTGTTTAATAACTTTCTCAAATGTGTGTACACAGAAGCAGCTGCCAGAGGAAAAGAAGTGATGGAGTTTCTCAGACTGCTTGGAAACCCTATCACACTGAGGAAACCAGACAGGACTGTTTTACTTGTAACAAAACCAAAGAGCAGAATTTTAGGCCAAACAAATGAGATTTCTGCCAACAAGTTAAAAACCTGCCAGAATTTCATGCTGAGGTCTTTGGCATAATACAACAAAGCAGCAACTCAAGACTAATCCTTAGCCAAGCTGAAAATGTCATTTGCAATAGTCTGAATGAACTTTCCCTCATTATTGCAGCACTGTCAACAAGCAGGATACTCACCACAAGAGTCTTGCATCGGCAGTAAGTCCAGCAATTGAGATTCCAATATGGTTGTCAACGTACAGGATTTTTTTCTGATGAGCTGCCAGCTCAGACTGTGCTCTCTATGCATAAAAGGAGAAAGCTATGTCTCAAACTGAACAGTCTGCCAAGCACTGTGGAGAAATCTGCTAACATTTATAGCAAGAACTGAGTATGTTCATGCAACAGTAAAAAAAAAATTAGATTTATAAACTTGCAACAGAAGACAAGAAAAACCTAATTCGACTTCAGTTCTCTCAGAACAAAAGAAAGAACAGACACTCACTCAAGTTTTGGGAAAAGAATGGAATAGATTTACTGCTCAATAACAAATGTAGAAAAAAAAAGAGGAACACATTCGTTAAAGGAAAAAAATTTCCACTCATTTCTTTCACCATTTTGTGAAGATCTGCTTTGCATAGGTACTGGAAATATTTCAGTACTCAAGCAAAGGGAATCTGTAATTGCATTTACATTTCTTGTCTAAGTACAGACCACACAAAACTAATCTGCCAAACCAAAACTTTTCTATGAGCATTACTGTCCTCACTGAGACCAGAGTTTAGAAGTTACCTTGAGAGCCACCAGGACAGCATGTGTTTTCGACTTCAGCCCCACAGTAGCTGAGCCTTGTTTCACAGCTTCCATGGCATATTCTATTTGATGAATTCGGCCCTGCAAAACCAAGTTGAAGATCATCAATCACTGTCTAGTCAATCCTTTCAATCAGTTTCCAATGGGTTTGCATTTTCAGACCTTTGATTCCCCAGCCCAGTGGGGACACTTACAGCATAACAGGTTAAATCAGTATGTGACTCAAAGACAGACAAAACCTCCAGCTGAAGTTGGACACTTAACTTGTAATTGGGTTTGCTGAAGAAATGAGTCTTATGCAATTGTTGTGTCTCACCAGCCATTCCCCAATAACTTCTGAACAAGTTATTGGCCAACTGCAGGCAAGTCTGAAACAGGAGTAGAGGTCTCAAAGAAAATGAAGTCCCTGCAAGTTCTGCAGAGGTGACCAGGAGCTTTAATGTCCATTTAACAGAACCACGGAGGTTTTCCCATTTTCAGCACTCCCAGCCCATGTCAGACACAGCCAACACAGGCACTCTTATCCTGCAAGCATGAGCACCATGGAGCTGCATCCCACCAGCTGGGAAGGAATGGAATGCAGTAGCTGCCACGGTGAATGTGCAAGGGATGATCTACAGGATACCACCTTCCCATAGGTTGTTTGGGATTTCTGACATAAGGTTCTTTATTTAAGTCTACTAGAAAGACTGTAATGTGGAATTTCATCCCCTGTTGTAACTGGAATTTCAATAACAGTATATTTCCTGCCCAAGAGCAGCACTGAATCTCTGTGACCTGTCCAATGTAAATCTGTCAACTGTCAGGAATAACAAGTGAGACTGTAAAAATGTGAAACCACTTCAAAGTTTTTAAATCTCCTATTTCCTTTTCTTTACTACCACCTTTGAAGACATCTCCCAGTAAAGTATGATTTGCTCCAGTATTAACAGTGCAAAAAACTATTATGGCATCATATCACTGCCTAACCTACAAGAATGGATGGAGAAGCAATTGCAGCACAGTAGCAATTTTAAATGTCTTTTTTTAGGAAAAAAAACAACACTATTAATATTTTCAAGGCAATTTAAGAAAAACATAGAAACTTGTGCTGTTGATGATTTTGCAATATCTGCTAAAAGTCTCAAGAGAATATTATGGTTTTTAAAGTAACTTTAAAAGTAACAGATAAGATAAAAAAATTAAAGTTTATGATACAGAACCTGCCAGAGAGATGAAACCAGTTCAAAGGTACCTACATCTATCATGGTATTGACTGGAACAAAAAGGGAAATATTCAAGGTTGTCTTCATGGAGAATGGAAAGTATAGAACATTTTCTGTTGCACTGTATGGAAAATGTATCTCACATGCAATAGTACTACATGATGAAGAATTTCAGTAGCAATACAAATCCACAAACTAGTGACACATTAGCTTTATACTAATACAAATTGTTACTTGCATTGTAAATAAATCTCTAGTTTTGCTGAATATAAACTAGTCTTTTTCCATGCTCTGGTTTTCTGTAAGTATCCTGTCTTAAAATATCCATAGTGAGAGAAGAGGCAATATTAAACACCTCAGCTGATGGTGGCTTTTAGAATTCCAGAATATTTATTTTCAACACAACCTGTGTAAGTTTCAGAACACACAATGTATGTTTTCAATAACAATACAGAGTGTGAAACTGATTCAGATGTATTAAAATTTCAAATTCAAACGGAAATCTCACTTGAATCTCCCAATTATAAACAAAATAGTTCCTTTTCCATATTATCTACTGGACAGAAGAGAGAAAGATCTAGCAATGGCCTAACATTGTGGAGATTGAAACTGTTTCATGCTTTGTGTATCTTACTTACCAACTTATTGTAGCTCTGTAAATGGATCATAGAGTCATGGAATGGTTTGGGTTGGAAGGAACCTTTACAGATCATCTAGTCCAACCATCCAGAGATGACAGCATCTCTTTGGTACCTCACAGGTACATTTAGAAAAAAACTGCCTTAAGCACCTGGAGGGGACAAGGCCCAGGTAAGCACCACTCAGGTTCATGGACCAGCAGATAGGGATGAGCTGAGGGCTTTCTGGACACCTACAGCCTACAAAGGGAGGGGGGAGCAGCCTGCAGGAAGCTTCAAGCATCTGAACACAACCTTTGTGACTGTAATACCACTGCTGTGAGGTAGAGAAAACCCAAAAAGCAAAACCTCAGTGAGCAAGTGTATAAAGATTTACCTGCGGGCTCCAAACCGTGACATCATTGTCATACTGGTTACGAAACTGGAATGAATAAAATAAAACTCATTAGTATCCCTAACAAGCCAACAGAGAAAGAAGCCCTAGTTGTTTCCACAGAATCCCAGTACTACAGAATCCTAGAATCAATAAGGTTGGCAAGATCTCTGATACACCGAGTCCAATCTATGACTGAACACCACCCTGTAAACTAGACCATGGCACTGAGTGCCACATCCAGCCTCCCTAAACACCTTCAGGGATGGTGACTCCACCACCTCCCCGGGCAGCCCATTCCAATAAACACCCTTTATGTGAGTAAGTTCTTACTTTGTTAAATTCCTTTTGCCAAACTGTTAGTTGGAAGGGACCTCTGGAGATCATCCAGTCCAATCCCCTGTGCCCAGGCAGGGTCACAGGAGCAGTGGCACAGGAACACATCAGCTGGGTTTGAATGTCTGCACAGAGGGAGACTCCAGGATCTCCCTGGGCAGCTCTCCCAGTGCTCTGACACCCTCAGTGGAACTAAGTTTTTCCTCGTGTTGAGGTGAAACTTCTTTTGTTCCAGTTTATGGCCATTGCTCCTCGTGCTGTCCCTGGGCACCACTGAAAAGGGTCGGGCACCAACGCTCTTAGCCCGCCTCTGGGATTTCTGTATCACTGATGATCCCCCTCAGCCTTCTCTCCTCCACACCGAACAGGCCCAGCTCCCGCAGTCTCCTCCTAACAGACCCCTGGAGAGATATTTACATGGATCCCCACAGGGATCGGCAGTCTTTGTGGCAGGGCCGAAGCAGGGCCCGCTCTCCGCTCCCATTCGTTTTCACGGCGGCAGCGAGGCCCAGTCCCGCCCGCGGCCCCGCGTGGCCCGGGAACTGCTTACTCACGGGCCCGCTCCCTGCCGCCCGCTCTGCCGCCTCTCCCGTGCCGGCTGGGCAGGCGGCGGGGGTCCCCTGTCCCGGCCCGTGTCCCCTCTCCCGGCCCGGCGCCCCTCACCATCCTGCTGCTTCCCAGCGGCGGCGGCGGCGGCGGCGGCTCCGGGCGGCGCGGGGCAGCGAGCGCTGCGGGCTGGGAGCGCGCAGGCAGTGCCAGCCGAGCCCCGAGTCACCGATGGCCGAGCCCGGAGTCACCGATGGCCGAGCCCGGAGTCATCGATGGCTGAGCCTCGAATCATCGATTGCCGAGCCCCGAGTTATCGATGGCCGAGCCCCGAGTCACGGATGGGCCTGCGCGGTGCCTCCCAGGGATGCCGGTTTTCTATGACCTGATTTGTTCTGTTATTTGTAAGCGTTCTGATGAATAATAATAAAAAAGTTTATTTGGTTGGGAAACTACTTCTTTTCCTCACCGTTTCTCTGTGGGAACAGGATATGTAAACATTTCGTGAAGCTTTCAGGTCTGACGGAGCCTGCAAGTGAACATTCCCGCAGATTCTCCAGTGCCATTCCCCAATAAGTTCCTGCAGCACTAAGGGACTCTCTAAAGCTCCATTCCCCCCGCCCACGGTGACAGAACAGCTCACAGATATTTCCTCTCTTTTTGGTGAAACCCGCGTTAAAAAACCCGTGTTTTGAGGGAACCAGCACTCCCCATTGCTCTGTACTTGTACAGCGAGTCATGTCAGCAGCCGCGATTTTACCCACAAAAAGGGTGTAAAACTTCGTGGAGAATATTGCTAATAGCTGCATTAAAAAAAAACAAAACAAAAAAAAAAAAAAAAAAAGAACTTTTGGAAGCTGTAGGTTTATTAAGGATTTTCCCCCCAGTTAATCTCGCCCGCTTTATTAGGTGGACAGAACAAAATTCAGTCAAAGCCGAGCTCACCAGATGTCCAGCTATTAAAAATTCATTCTCAAGCGAACGGGTTGGGGTCACAGTGGCAGCAGGAAGGGTGGCAGGGGACGGAGTTCCTGCTGGATCAGGGCTGCAGGCAGCACAGCTGCTCCGAATTCCCAGGGCAGCAACCAGAGGATGCCGGAGGCAGGAATAATCCCTGGAACGGGGAAATGCTTACCGTGGGAGGAAGTCATTCACTTCCTTCGGGATGCTCCTTCTTGCCCTTTAGGCTCAGGACGAGACCTCTACAGGCAGGGCTGAAGCCAGAGGGTTGGAGGTGTGTTTGTGATTTCATCTCAGCCTATTCCTCGTCGAAGTATTTGAACTGAGGGTGTAATGTGTCGATTCAGAAGGTGACCCCACAAACAGGGCAAAATCAAATAGCTCTCTTTCAGATAATAAAGGCATCGCACCAGAAAGGAAGCGTTTTGCATATATTACTAATTAATTGTAGAGTGAAAAAATGAATGACGAGCAGCAATCAATATATTGCATCAAGACATCACAATATAAAAGAGTACAGGACTGAAAAGTAAAACTAAAACTGCCCTCACATTTAAATTAACTACTTATTTAAAAATCTAAGCTAGGAGAAAATAATATTTTCTCCCGTTTAGTTTCACAGTTGACATCCTGATAACCAGGATGAGTTCAGAGCAATGAATACCCTATTGATAGCTCTATGAAAACAAGTTCAGTGCTCAGTAATGTCCAAATTAAATGTAAAGAATATTTAAGAAAGAGAACAAAGAAAAAGTGTTGCTGTGCCACTGTATAAATCTATACTGCATCTGATACTGTTGAACACTGGCCATGACTCTTGTTTCCCACCTTGAAATTATGTGGAACTGGAAAAAGTAGAAATAAAGATTCAAATTATGGAATAGCTTCATATAAAGGATGACAGTGAGGAGTTGAAGTCGTCAGTCTAAATAACAGATAAACGAGGAAAGGCTTTGAACTCTTGCCAAATCACAGCTGGCACAGAGATGCTGAATGGGTTCAAGGCTTCTCTGTGTCCTGCAGCTCTGGTACAGGGTGTCGTTAAAAGCAGCAGGTTCTAGCCAAGCCAAGGGGGGACTTGTGAGTGATGCCATGCCTGTGCTGTGGAAACCTCTGCACCTGAGCACATCGTGGTCTTTTGGTCACATTTTGAGACAGCAGCTGGCTGAATTCACAGACTGAACAACTTTCCGAGCCACCAATGCTACTGCTACGATATTTGAGCTAAGTGCAGCAGTGAAAGTATAGCTAACCTAAAACATACATATACAGTCTCAAGAGAAACTAATGAGCCTGCTTTATTCTATGCCGTGTTTCCAGCAGAGTTATAAACAGCATCTGACATCTGAGCGATGACAGGCGCTGCTCTGCAGAGATTAATGTACAGCAACTGAAAGGCAAGGCCATTATGGCTCTGCTTCTGCTGATTCACGAGAGGAAACAACATTCCTGCAAGTCCCCTTTTGGGGTACCCCTCCCCATCAGCCCCCGTTAACCCCTGTGTGCTGTGCTCCTGGGGTTAGATGGAGGTTTTTTGGCAGATTGGCTCCTCTGAGGTCGGTGGGAACACTCTGGGAGCGCTCCCAGGGGCTGCAGGTTGTGCTGCTTAGGCACAGCAGGCTGCCAGGGGAGAAGAAAGAAAACTCTTGTGCCAGAGTAAGAGGCAGCCTGAGTGAAGGCAGCACCTCCATCCCCTTGGAGAAAGGGAAGGATAAATCCCAGGGAGATCCCAGAGCCACTCCTGTCTGATGGAAGAGTGGTTGCCCACAAATAGCAGTGCTGTCATGATGCCTTCAGGACTGAGCATTTTGACTCAGTTATTTTGAGAACTGTCTTACTGCCTTGACAATGTGAACAGTCCATATTGGGATTTAATGCAGGTAAGAGATTTGCTTCATTGATAGATAAATGGCGACAAGACTACTTAATTAGAAGCCTTGGTGTTTTGACTTATGTAGTATTTGATGACATTTTCGTCAAGTAGGTTAAGGCTAAAAATAAAAATTTGACAGCTGCTATAAATGTACATACTTGTCTTTAGAATCATTTAAAGGCAATCTCAGAAGTTCTTACAAAGAAAATAATCTATCATTTTGTATTAATATTGTAAATAGGAAAAAATAATTTCTCTATATAAATTTTACCAGATTTCTTTATTTTTCTTTTGCTGGCACGTTAGTAGAGGTGCAGACATTTCAGTCTCTATGACAAACTTGCATTCATGTTGCCAAAGCCATTTTTTACCATTTTTAAACCACTGACCAATTTAAATCACTGGAATATTTTGTCATGAAAGATGCTAACTACACAGATTTTCAAGTTTACTCCTAACTTTTTTTAATCCATAGCTTTTGTGGACTGACATCAGTTGACCTTTTCAGGACAGGCCTACAGGGCAACTAACCTTGCCTGATCATCAGAGCTGGCTGGGAAAGACCAGGCAATGATGAAAGCAGGCTTAAATAATCCCTGTGGAAAGAGAACTGCAGGAAAGAGTCTGGCTCTTTCTGTCCAGTTCTGGAACAAACAAGGGTACAAGGTTCAACTCAGCAGAGCTGTTGTAGCATATCCTGATCATGGAAATAATTTTTATTTGTGGGTTTGAATAGAGGAAAAATATATTTTGAGATAAATTTAGATAGATGTTATTGCTAGCTATTTCTTGGGCCTGAAATTTATTTCTTCACTCTGAGGAAGAGTTTCTGTATAATATGCTTTTATTGTACAACAAAAATGTATTTTGAGCTGTAAATTGCTTGCTAGCCTAGAAGTTATGATTTAAACAGCATACATAGAATTGTCTGAGTCATCAAAATACAGCTGAAGAATTATTATCATAATTTATGGAGAATTATGAAAGATATTGTTGCAGTTATAATAAAATCTGCTAAGCTGTTCATTTCAATGAAAAAGAATGGCAGTTATTAAGTTTCTGTGGATAAAAGATCCATTTCAGTGGGCATATAGCTGCATAAGCTCTTTCAAATACATTAACTGCTCCGTTGATTCATATTGTGGGAACTATTTTTGAGTACACCTGAATCAAAACCAAAGCACCATCAAACCTTCAGCAGTGGGTATATAACATTTTGAAACAGAATGGTGAACAGATTCACCAATAAATACTATCTCTGTTAGGTTCGAAATTTCTCCCTATGAAAGAGTCATCACAGATAGGAAATAACAGCGTGGCACAGAAATAAAGCCATGAGACCACTAATGGATCCCATTTCCTTACCACCAACAGGACTGTCATATTAAATTAATGACTAGACAAAGTATTACCTTCTTACTTATGCATTTATATGCCATAAATATTTTACGAGTGCTTATATGTAGATCACACAATAAAATGTTCACAATATTTTTGCCACATCTACCGGTGCCAAAAATTTCTGCTTGAAAAATGGAAAGACATTCACATACAGAAACAAATTTTCCAGAGGATATTAAACTATAAAAAAAAAGAAAGAAAAAAAAAAAAAAGAAAAAAGAGAGAGAGAAAAGGCCCTAGGAATGATGTACTATCCGTGGCAAAGCATTAAGGATTTATGTGACACTTCTCTTTACAGGGATTCTCAAGTTCTGTGGGAGAGTTAAACATTGTAAAAGTTGCTGTTTAGGCAATAGTTCTGGTATTTGTAGGCCACATTTTTTAAAAAGTGACTCAGCCTATTCTTGCTGTGGATTCAGTTTTTGATTAAGAAAGACAACAATAGAGAATTAATATGTAGGACAAATAGATGTTTGAGTAGGCTTTAGTCTTACAAATTCTGCTGTCAGCAGCCAGGTTTTTTTTTTACTTTTTGCCAAGCTCCTAATTTTGCTACATAAATTTTAACAGCTTTGCTGTCATGCATATCCCAGTTTTCATAGAACAAATTTCATTTGGCACTGTCACCCTTATTGCATGTATTCTTAAACTAACAACAATGCAAGCAGAAATTTAATCCTGTCCTGACAAATGTGAGAGAGCTTCTGGCACTGCTGTGTCCGTTGTCTTGATAATTCTGACAGATCACAGAGCTCAGACACTGCATCACACATGCTTAAATTATGAAAAAATTCCATTGATGTTAGTTCGGATAATTCTAAATCCAGAGTATTTGGCTCAACGCTTGGCTTCTATGCCTGGTCCCTGGAAGGATTCAGTGATGGGCCAAAAGGGCTCTAAATTAATTCCAGACCACCTTGATGTAACCCTGCCTTGAATGTA